TGGGGTTAGAGAGGGGCGCAAGTCATCACATCACGTCAAGGTACTGTCTCGTTGTGATGGTGGTGATCATGTGTGGATTAAAGAAAACCGTGAGGACCTTGGAATCCTGATAACTCCCGTAGGTAGTGTTTGAGAAGAGATTAAATCGCGATTAACGAGAGCTACATTGTATTTCGACAACCTACGACACTGCTCTTGTATCTGGCCTTCTACCAATGGAAGGGTACACATCCTCACGGTTTGTACTGTTTTGTATCACAATCGCGCAGAGAACGCCAACCGGTTTTCCGTATTGGATAGCTGATATCTAGAAATGTTTTGGGGGTCGTGGACGCATCGGGTGAGCCACGGCGTGGTTCATTGTCACTTTAGATACTGGCTGTCGTTCTCTTGAACTTTTGCCCTGTCTGTGTAACCTCCGTGTTCATTGACCCTACTTGGGAAGCTTTTTGGTGGACATAAAATCGAATTTGATCAGTAGTAGTAGACATTTCTCAAAATAACAACCAGATGTAAATTTGACCATCCGGGTGGCAGAGTTCTTTTAGTCACACAACGCAACCATGTACCCAGATAAAACGACGATTTCGAGGACCCCGTTGAAGAAATAGGGGACAACGTACAGTTCCGTCAATGTTGGGTGGACAGACAGCAAGACGCAAAGTGACACCGGAGACGTTACTTAAGCGAACTCTTGTTAATGTGACAAGTCACGGGTTTGCTCCACGTGTTCCTCTCGTTTCCTGAACCGTACTTCTGTGCATCGTTGTTCAAGTTTTGGTATACTTCGCATCTACATCACAATCTCTGGTGAGTATTATTGTGGGGGATAATTGGCATTGACTGGTTAGAACTGACCATCCTTCAAATTTTACCTTCACAGTCAGTTAATCATACACTCGAAAGCACTAGACTCGAGTTTCACTCTTATTAGAGCTCATCAGTCGTGTATATCTACCATCGCGTCCGGGATTTGAACTTCGCACCCATCGCATGTTATCATTGTACCAATCGGCTCACATCAGGGCTGGACCGAATTGCCAATTCCTGTTTTCTTTTTCAGGTGTCATCTTCAGTGTAGCCAGTCGGTTCATTTGGGTCCGACAGCAACGAAGAGCAACACAGTTGACCATCTATTCACTCCAGTCGAAAGCCCCCCTTCCACCAATTTTGGATTTCCATGCAATGGGTCCGGAATTCAAATCGCGGACGGGACGCTCGATAGGTCCCACTGATTCGTTCTAATAGGTGTGAAATGCGAGTCTAGTGCTTCCGAGTTTATGGTTGACTAAATGAGCTGGGAATTGTGTGCGGGTGAAATCCGAAGGATAGTCAGTTCGAATCAATATCAGTTGTCCCACACAAGTACTCACAAGTGGCTGAGTTAAAAGCATATATATATATATAATGTATATCACGATCGATTTTCATTAGGTAATTGTAAGTTACTGTACGGATTCGTCGTAACATCGATATCCACGGTTTTCTTCCTATCCAAACCGCTCTGCACTGAATTCCGGATTTCGATGATCAAACATCTCTCTGTCATCCGGTGGAATGGTACAACCGTCCCGATTGCGTAATTTGGTTTGCTAGTCGAATTTCTGGTGCTCCAATCACCGGTTTCTATGCCTAAAAAATAAATAGATCATTGGGTTTTCTCCCATTCAAGTGTTTGTCATACAATGAAGTGTAACAAAAAAACGTTCTACCCAGGTGTGCAATAAACGGTACACGCTTATCCCAGCCTCTTGACGTCACCGAATCTGTACTCTATACTCCTTCAGATGCGTGTACACCTGACCTTCCGTGTTCGTTCTTTTGTCAATCCCGTCACATTTCAGCCACAGACTTGCCCATACTTTACACGGATCCCCATTCTGGTATCTATGTCCGTCCGTATCGGGATGAGGCGGATCTGCAACAGATCGTACCCCTGATCGCCACCGATCTGTCCGAGCCTTATTCCATTTACACATATCGATATTTTATTTACAACTGGCCCAAACTCTGTCTTTTGGTTAGTTATCTGTTTTAGATGCGGTTTTTTATTGCGATTGACTTGGCAGGCTTTTTCCGACGAGGAGTGTGTGGGCACGATTGTGTGCAAATTAGAACCATATTCACAGGACACAATTCGAGGTTATATTGCTATGCTGGCTGTGAAGGAGGGCTATCGAAGACAGGGTATTGGTAAGTGTGTGTTTAGTCCCTATCCACATGTTTAAAATAGGATCCCGTCTGGTTCAGTTGGCTGTCCGGTTAATGTTAGACGACAAATGTGATGAGGTAAGTCGGTGTTTCAATGATGTTGTCGCCTTCCAGTGTTAAGGACGATTCTACTAACTTTAATCGTGCCTATCAACGATAGTTTCAATGTCTGTGTACTATGTACCTATTGTCCTGTATTTCGGTACATATTTGATCTAGTGGTAACTGAATCTTTTGAATTTCTTGACCTCAGACTCCTATCTAGTGCTTTGGGTTTTGCATCTAAATGTCCCTTCAGTTTCGTAGCCTTTCTGGCTAACCGGAGGGTGCGGCTCCTGGTCGTGCTGGTCTTGATGTTGCTCTCAGTGAGAGAGAGCCGCAAACCAGTTATATATATATACATATAATAAGTAATAAGTAGTATGTGAATGACTAGAAAAATTTCGCGGGAAGCACACTACCGGTTTCGCGGTTCTTGTCGCTCGTCAGGCATATATATATATAAAACCCACCTACAAGTCATCGAATCGTAGTATTGACTCTTCAGTGGACTGGTTCTGAAAGAGCTAACCAAACAAATTTACCCGGTGTTGCAAATAAGGTTATTGTGACGATAATATATATTTCCTGAGTACAACTATGTGAATGAACAGACTACCGGATACGCATGCGTGAAGAACGGCAAGAACGATGAAATCAGTCGTGTGCCTCCAGGGGAATTTTATCCAGGCATTCATATACTACTTATTGCAATATATATACCATTGAGAAGTGCGTTCGTTTACACCGATCGGATCATTGAAATGGGTCAACGATGGTCAGGTTTACTCCACATTCCCTCTGGTGCAATCTAACGGTTTGGCAGTCAACCGGTTACGATGAAACTTCTTCGAGAGCGGTTGCAATTTAGCGATTATGGTCCCTAATTTATCGACCCGGACGTCCCACGAAGGCCGTCCGAGTTTTCCCCTTCTGGGTGTCACCAGACTGTCTGATCGACTACTGCTCCCTCCCCTTAGTGAAAGACTATCAGATTCCATTTCATAAAAATACAAAGATTGATCTGTTTATCTTTTCTCAATCCGTCCATTCTTTCCATCAATACTCTAACAAGCTTATTTTCATTTGGACCTTTATAGGTTACCTTGGAAACGGAAATCACTAACAAGTCCGCATTGGCGCTTTACGAACGTCTGGGATTCTGTCGGGACAAACGTCTCCTTCGTTATTATTTGAACGGAGTAGATGCGTTTCGATTAAAACTTTGGCTTACCCCCAAAAAGTGGGTTGCTTCTTGAACATGCTCACTTTCGATCTCCGCTTTGCATTGTGACATTCGAACTGGTCCGTGGCAATATACAGTGTGTACAGAGTTTTGCTTTGTTTCTCAAATTTGTATTGTAGCTATGCCTACATGTGATTGACCAAGGATTAGTTATGGTGTATTACTTATCCTACTTAGGTAGTTACGTGACCAATGACGATAGAGCAGCAAAGGAGATAGCCGCCTGTAGTTCCAAGGCGCGAGCAGCGTACGCAGTACTGAAACACCTTTGGCGTAGACGTGACGTTTCACTGATTTTAAAAGGTCGTGTATATTGTGCTACTGTTCGTTCAGTTCTGCTCTATGGCTCTATGACACCTTAAATTTGCGAGTAGAAGATATCTATCGATTAGAATTTTTGATTATCGGTGTTAAAGTAGTTTAGCTCACATGGGATGGAGCGAACGGGTTAGCAGCATGGAGGTAAGCCGTCGTATGTTTTGGAGTCTGTCAGGGATAAATCTGCCAACATATCGAATTCAGATCCTTGGACTTCACTGGCTAGCGCACGTATTGCCTATGCCCAGATGTCGTCCTCCGCACCGCTTTTTATTCGCTGTAGCCGCTCCGGGCTGGAAGAAACCACGCGGAGGTTAACAGATGACCGGGAGACGAGGCGTGAAGAAATGCACAGAGCCATTAGGTAGAGTCGGTGTCACGTGCCTTCCAGGTTGGGGTCCGAAAGACTCCGCAACTGGTTGGCTGGAGGGCATTGAAGGATGTGGCAGGGAACCGACAGCAGTGGCGTTCTTGTCATTTCTTATCGGGCCAGGATGCTTGAAACAGTCTGTCTGCAGAGTTCGATTGTGTACTCTCTGTGTTGACTATAGGGGTTCACCTTCTTTCCCCTCCTTCCATATAGGTTCAATCACTATCCATCTTACATATTACCAATGACCTTGTATGCATTGCGAGTTTCACAGTGATCTATGAGCGTTGCTTCACTTTATTTTGGTGTACGATAATAATGATGATGATGACAATAAAAATCGTTCCAGTTGTATGTTTAACCTATGACCACCATATGCTTAGACCGGTTAGCAGAAAGGTGACTCACGAATGACATTATCGACCGGACAGCCCTACGACAGCCAATCGAACGAGCGCGCCTGTAGGACAGACCCACACAGCAGTCAAATTGGAACGAACTAGTGACCGAGCGAAAACCACGCTCAACAGTACACGTCCCCAAGCCACAAGCGAACAGCAGGAGGAAGCTCAATCTTTAGACGAGGTTGTATAGTTGGTTCAATCCAAAGACGATTGTAGTAGACATAAAGCTGATCTGTTTATATACGTTTTTACGGATAGCCGTCAATGACCTTGGAATTTAGCTCAAAAGCCCCAAGTTTTATGAAGATAAACCACTCACGGGAGAGCATGAGCGGTGATGTGAAATGAGACTTTTGGGTGCGTGCATTTGGATTTCACTAAAATAAATGGGGAAGTAGTCTGTCGAAATGCGATGGAAATGTTTGTGATAACTGACACAGAGCACTTGACAGCTGTTTCGTCCTGTTTGGGACTAGTCAACAGCGCTTACTTTTTCCATTACATTTTAATGCATTTACCTCTTGGGGAATTAACGAACTCCCAAGGAGTGAAACCCACACGCAAGACCATCAAGAGTGCCTGGTGCGCCTGTGAATAATCGAGTGGGCTAATCCAAGCCTGATACTCTCAAATAGTCCAGTCCTTTTCAACAGACACGCACACGTTTGTCGTGGGTGCTTTCAAGCGTTGAAAAACTAACCTTTATTAAAATGCTAATGGAAAATGAAGCCTAGGTTAACTTCGATACAGGGGTTAACTGACCTCGTGCATGAAAACTGCATTGGCTCTCTCACTCTTGCGCGCGCATTTTGTCTGAGAACGCTTTGCCAATCTCTATGCATTTGAGTGCTAGTGCCTCAACTGATAATGCTTTTCTGTTGTTGCTCGGCATGTGCTGGCGCATCCTCCACTCACCGGCGTTGCTCAGACGCCACAATATTTATTCTGCTTACTAGATGATCAAAAAGTAAGAGGAAGAGTGTATGATTCGGAATCAGAACCATTTATCCACTCTACTTTATATTTCATTTCACTTGTTCGCCAAGCTTAGAAAAATCAAAATCAAAATTGAAGAGCAACCTCACCGCCTGACACCAGCTCAAGGGCGACGGTGTTTCAACCCTGTGCAAGCCGCTCGAGCTTTGGCAATCCGGGCGGTGACCTCTACTATGCTACCGTCATTTATCACGTAGTTGCCTATTTCGGAGAGGCAATCCGCTCTAGCCAAATTCTGACCAAGGTAGGAGTAGTTTTACAACATCAGTTTATAATGTTAAGGTGTAAAGAGCATACTGGAAGGAACAACAGAGCTTATAAGTATGTCATTTGTAGTCTACGCATCCTTCATGTATTCGTCAAGACTAACGGTGTCGTCAGCATACATTTAATCGTACGGTTTTTCTCCAATGTCAACATATTGGCTCCTAGTTTCAGATTATACAACCATTATCCACAAATTTCCGTGTGGTTGGTTTACCCGTTTTGATGAAGGGGGTAGATTGGGGTATTGGAAACTTTGTCAATGTGCAAGTAGACAATAAGGATAGAGTGAAGTTCCACTCATTTTCGTATTTATAGTTATGCTACTTATGAGTAATATACGAGAAAGATATAATTTCATTTGCATCCCATAGATCAATGTGGTGCCGATAGGAATGCAAACTTTTCAGGTCATTCATTCTTTTAATCGTGCAACCGAAATTTAAATTTGACACAATGTGGTTAACTTTGCTCACACAATTAGTACTCAACTGATCCAATTCAGTTTAGTTTGAACCACAGTGAAAATGTGTACTTTAAGATTGATTTCCTTGCTGAGGTTTATCAACCGTTGAAATCGAAACAGAAATCCAGG